TATAGTTTCCCCTTATTTAGAGTTCTGCAGCCAGTGCAGATAATGGAAAATAACTATAACTAACTACAGCTACTGTAAGCAAGTATGCTGCTTAACAATTAAACTGAGTCACAGGGGAAACAGGCAAATTTTTAAACAGAATAGCTTTCTAATAATTGGCTAATGAAACAAACAGGCAAGTAATTACTTCATTCGAAGGTTAGTATCAACATTATGATAGAGTCCAAAGTCATATTCAGACTGTACTGACCTCCTCCCCATGCGTACTTTTGCAATTTATAACATTGTGTCCTTAGATGTAATAAATGTCACAGGTAGCATTAAATACTATAATACTAACCTTTCAATGAAATAATTACTTGCCTATTTGTTTCATTAAATATGAGCCAATTTCTAGAAAGCTATTCTGATTGTTCATATATTTGCCTGAATCCCCTGTGACTCAATATTGTTAAAGTGTACACATGTTTGCAATAACTATAGCTAATCATAATTGTTTTCTGTAAAAACCAATGTCAAAATTCTAGATAATCTCCTTTCCCTCCCTTAAAAGGGGAAATGAAAAGCGTGCTCCCAATAGATTAGGAAATGAAAAAACGGAAGAAGAAAAAAGTATTTCTAAAAGGTCCCTGTGTCAAATTTACCCTCATATTTGGGCAGAGACCCTTTCTGGGTCTTTGAAGTCACATTATTATGTCAAGAGCAGCAAAGAAACTGGCCAGAAAGCTTGGTCTTATTTTTGGTTTGTTGTTACTAAGGTTTGGTTCTCCAACATCCATACAGTTTGATGGGTAAATTGGCTCCCAGAAATCTGAACTAGCCTTGTATCTGGATGAGTTATATGTGAACTCTTTAAACAAGTACAAAACCATAGTTCATACTTCTTAAATGGTAATATAAAAAGTCCCAGGTAATTCATAGGAATAATAAGTCTCGGTTATCAAAACCCTCCAGATGTCTAGACATGTCGTGTAAAAATGAATGTCATTTTAAATCCGAAAACTAAAGTTATTTTAGTAAAGCACAGCTAAAATAAATCTGAATTATTTTGAACATTTTTTTAGAAAGCTATCAGAAAAAAAGTTTTTTTCCTTCTCAGTTCTAAGAGCTTAAATGAAACATTCATGCATTAAATTCAAAGTCTGACTGTCAAATCATTTCACTTTAATAAAAATTTGAATTACCTGCCTTAGGGCATTATTAAATATCAAATAAAAAGCACACATCCATAAGTCTGATTTCCCAATATAATTTTTATGTAGAAGTATGACTAGATTTGTATTACACATTTCAAGATAAAAGGATCAAAAATATATTCATGAAAGGATACAGTCAGAAGTGAACTCGTCTTTGAGAGAAATTCTGCACCATTCTTAGGAATCTGGGGAAAAATGACCCCCTTTCAGGAATCTTAGCCACCAAGACAAGGATAGCAATCCATCCTCTCTCTTAAAATATCCATACTGTAATTAACTGAAGACTTTGAGAATTACACAGTCTTCCTATCATACAATGAATACAAAACATATGTATGTGAAATATATGCAATCTCCTCATAAACATTTAAGTGTGTGTGTGTGTGTGTGTGTGTGTGTGTGTGTGTGTAAAGACAGAGATAACATAGGGACGATTATTTAGATATTTAGAGAGGCAATTTGCATGGAGGGCAAGATATGGATCAAAAACTCAAGCCAATAATCTCACTTCATAAAAAGTGTCATTTATAGTTACTGATATTCACAGAAGAGTATACCAAACCTACACTGGATAAATTCATAAACTCATGTCCACCAGCCTCACTGTGCCACTCTGCCTGCCCTCCGATGAGTCCTGCCTGCAAGCCCTCCCCCCACCCTCTGCTCCAAACTTCCTCCAGCTCCCCTCCCCGACTCTCAGCTCTGCCCCAAGCCCCCTTAAACAGTAAAGCAAGTCACAAAAGGCTGTCTATAAACCACCACCTCCTTCCTTCCTCTGACCGCATGGAAAGTGTCCATTCCTATAATAAAAGTCAGCCTCCACTTGTGCTTAGAATTCCATCCCCTGGCAACTTTTTAGAGACTTCACTGCTAGGATTAGGCCCTGGAGAAACAGCATCTTCAGCCCCGCCCACCTACTGGCTTATTCCCCACCCCCATATAGAAAGTTCCAGTATTTCTTTTGTTTAAAAAAAATGCTTTCATTTGGAACAAAACTGGGTCATCTGTAGAGATATAGACAGACCAAGAGATGGTCATACAGAGTGAGGTCAGAAGGAGAAAAGCAAATATATTAATGCATATATGTGGAATCTAGAAAAATGGTACAGATGAATCTATTTGCAGGTCAGGAATAGAGATGCAGACTTAGAGAATGAATGTGCGCACACAGCAAGGGGAAGGAGGGGTGGGATGAATTGAGAGGGTGGCGCTGATATATGTACACCACTGCTGCTGCTGCTTACGTCACTTCAGTTGTGTCCGACTCTGTGTGACCGCGTGGACTGTAGCCCACAAGGCTTCTCTGTCCATGGCATTCTCCAGGCAAGAATACTGGAGTGGGTATACTCCACTCCATACTGAATACTGTGTGTATGAGAATACTGGAGGAGTGCCCTGCTCCAGAGGATCTTCCCGACCCAGGGATCGAACCCAGGTCTCCCGCATTACAGGCAGCTTCTTTACTGCTGAGTGACCAGGGAAGCCCCATATATACACTACCATGAGTAAAATAGATAGCTAGTGGGAAGCTGCTGACATCACAAGGTATCTCCACCTCCTCCCTTCAAAATCCACTTCTGCCCCCTGCAGCCTACACCCCTCATCCTCCTGCTACCCTGAGGGCCTGAGTGTGGAGATGCTCCCTGACCTCTGACCCTCAGTGCTTATGACAGAGGGCTGTCAGTCAGGCTGCCTGAGTGAGTCCAACTTCCACTTCCACTGCTCAGCAACTTCGGGCAAATGACCAAACTTCCCGGTGCTTTGGTTAACTTGTCATAAAGCAAGGTTTTATGAACACATAAGGTTTTATGAACACATGAGGTCGTCCCCATGTAGCATTAGAACATTATATGTACACACACATGCAGACACACATAATCTATGCCCACGACTCCCACATTCTGTTCAGACCTCTTTTCTGATCTCCACTCTTGAAATTCCAGCTTCCTTCATGACAGGTCCACCCACTGTAGTGACTGATAAGCCACTCTCAGCTCTCTCTATCTCTCCGTCTCAGACAGAACCTCCTCCAGCTTCCCTGTTGTCACTCTGCCTACACAGTTTCTAAAGCCCCAAAATCCGGCTGTTATCATTGATAATTCCATCTCCTCTCCCTCACATCCAACTTACCCCTAGATATCACTTTCAAGGACTCTTTCACAAATATAAACCGCTCTCCATCCTCACTGTTCCTAGTCTGGTACCCAAGTCTCCATGCTTTGCACCTTGGTTAACCAATGGACTTCTAAAATACCTTTCTACTCTCCCAGTCTGGCCCACAGTAATCCAGTCCATTCATTCTCCAGCCACTGTGATCTCCTGAGAATATAAAGGGGTCAGGCCACTCCCCTGGGAACCCTTAGATGTCAACACATTGACAATGAAATAAAGACATCTAACTGGGCTGACAAGTCCCTTGAAGACAGGGCCCTGCCTGACTGTCCCTTTCATTTCCACACCCCAGACTCAGAGGGCTTCTTTCAGGTATCTCAGCGCATCAAAGTCTTACCATCTCTACAGCGAGGGGACCCTCGAGGGTCTTTGCAAAGATATTCCCTCTAGCCAAAACCTCCTCCACTCCACTTTTTTGTTCTTCTCATTCATGGAATTTATTACAATTTGTTACTGTACTTTTGAAATGTTTTTACATTGTCCTGCTCACTATCTCAGGCTTAAGCTTTGTTTTTGAAAAATATTTTTTGATGTGGACAATTTTTGAAGACTTTATTGAATTTGTTACAATATTGCCTGTTTTACACTTTATTACTTTGGCCATGAGGAATGTGGGATTTTAGCTCCCTGACCAGGATCGAATCCACACACTCTTCCAGGAAGGTAAGTCTTAACCACTGGACCACCAAGGAAGTCCCAGACTGAGCTCCTGGAGGCCAGAGATTTCAGTTCCTCTGTGACTCGCCCATCCACTGGACCACTGACACAGCTTAAGAGGACATACTCCCAATGGACCACTAAACAGTCAGAGCTCTGTCCTGACTCCGAGGAAACTGTTCCAACAGACACTTTCCTCTCATGGGAAGCAGTGGTTTCATAGCAACACAGTGACCTAGGTATGTGACCTTGGGCAATCTACAAGGTGAAGAAGTAACCCAGTACACAGGCATTTATATATATTTTATATTTTCCTTGTTTGTGATGTTTATTTTGTTAGCTCCTTAAGGGTAAGTAACTCATACATTAAATCCAATATATTAAAATGTATAGATTATGTTTCCATCGGTAAAGAAACATGCTGCATTTATATAATCACCAAGTGCTTCTTGATCTATCAAATAAAATCACTTCCATAGGGTAAGTATTATCACTCTGGCCCGATCTACCTTCACTACCTACCCCAATAAGCAAGATGACCAAATCTGCACTGGACAAGTGTCCAGCTTTGAGGATCAACAGCTCCCAGTCCCTTTCTTCATGCTCCCCATTCATCAGGAGATAACAGCTGCAGTTTCAAGCTACAACAACACAGCAGAGTACCAAAGAAGAAGTACTTGCATGTCACCGTTACCCTGCCTCGGGCGCCTTCCCTTATGAAAGCTGATATTAAAGCAAAACTTATCAAGAGAATGAAAGGCTGCACTGCTGGGAAAACATAAGGAATGTAGATTTTTCCCTAATAGGGCATGACATTTTTACAAACCACCTGACTTGTAATGAATGGGGCTTGAGAATGTGTTCTAAATTTCAATGAAGTGCATTCACATTGTGAAATTAACAGGTTCATCATGAGAGCTGCTTTCAAGCGCGGGTTCAACTGCGTGCCTGTTTTCTCACTTAACCTCCACGTACCCAGATGAAGACACATCAGCTCCTGTTTTCTTTGGCTACTGAAACGCAGCTCTAATGACTCTGTCGCTGAGCGGCTGAGTGGGTCTAAAATTGTCTCCCAAAATCCCATCACAGCCCTCCACGAGCTCTGCCCCCTTCACATGTGTCCTCAGCCTTCGAAATTCTTCAATCTGAAAGTAAAAGCAGAACAAAACAGATTAATTGTCGACCGGCCATGAGCAAGATGGGAATCTCATCAATTACTTAAAATATGCATAAATTACAAGCATTTAAAAAGAGAAAATTAAACTTAAAAAAAGAGAAAACTGAGTTTGTTCTTCCAGAGCTAAGACATTAGACACAACCTCTACAAGAGGAAAGAAGACAACAGAAGCAGAGATATGAAGGCCTCCAGATAAACCCAAACAACCGTCAAAACCTGCTGGATCTGTTCATGCAAAAATGATATACACCTCTCTCAAACAGCTCTTATGGGGACATCTCTAGCGGTCCAGTGGTTAAAATTCGATGCTTCCAATGCAGGGGTCACTGGTTCTATCTATGGTAGGGGAACTAAGATCCCCACATGCTGCTTGTTGTGGCCAAAAATAAAAAAGATAAAAATAAAAAGGAGAAAATCTGTAATACCTAAAAGAAAAAAACTTCTATGTCTGTTGTAACATAATAAGAAAAAGTGAACAAATGAAGAAATGTTCTGAAATGCTTCCCAAGTATATCTCTATAATGAATCATGGTGTTACTGTGTGCTAACACTGATTATAAGTTAAATATATTAGATGCAGGCTTTTCATCAAAAAACTCCCTTTGCTGCTTGTTGAGCCCTCCAAAGAGCAAATAATGCCTCTGATTTTTCAAAAGTTTAAGCCCATCTTCTTCCTATGGCAACAGTGATTTTCAAGTTCATCTCCCTTCTCAGGCAGCCTCCCCAGATCCCATGGTCTCCAGTTACACACTATTGGTTGCCACAGTCCCGAGGGACCATTCCCATCAGTTGCACTGCAGTCTCCCTGACTGTCCAAGTTGTACCTCGTGAGAACTCATAGTCTGCCAGACACCACTCACTGGAAGTGTTTGAGCAAGTAGCAAACACATGATGAGCTTTCACCAAGCTCACTGCCATCTAGCAGTTGATTTACCTTTGTCAAATCATCTGTTATTTCCTTTAAATGCCACATAAAATCACATGGGACATTCTTCATTCCTTACACAAAAGGAGAAACTGAGGCCAGGCAGGTTAAGGAAGATTCCAGATAATCTGGGTCTGACAATTCCAAGGCCACGTGCCCCCTTCCCAGTCCCACAGCCACCTCTTCAGAAATTCTGGTCATCAGTAGACCCTATAGCCAGCATATATCCCAGGACATTGAGCAAATGTGACCTGAACAGTATCAATCAACCAAAGCATCGCCATCTGTGAATCAGAGGCTTCTACCTACAAAGGTTCACACAGCGCCAACACAGACTTAACCCCATCAGGAGGGGAAAAACCCACAAGATGTTAACTAATTCAGGATTCTAATAAAAATCTAGAAACCCCCATACTTTAGAGGACCCATGGGACTCCTGTAGAATTTCACCAGTGCATTCTCCTAAGAAGAGGTTCCCTGACTCCAGAAGAGTCAAATCTCATAAGATTCTAATTCAATCCACTCAATCTGAATTGGAAATCAGAGTTGAGAAAAGTTAGATGGCTTGCTAGATCAGAACCCAAGTTAGAAATTTGACTTCTTGGGCTTCCATGGTGACTCAGCAGTAAAGAATCTGCCTGCCAATGCAGGAGACACGGGTTCTATCCCTGGCCCGGGAAGATCCCACATGCCACAGAGCAACTAATCCCATGTGCCACAACTACCGAGCCTGTGTGCTAGAGCTCAGAAACTGCAACTACTGAAGCCAGTGTACCCAAGAACCTGTGCTACGCAGCAAGAGAAGCCATCACAATGAGAAGCCCCCGCACCGCAACAAAGAGCAGCCCCTGCTTGCTGCAACTAGAGAAAAACCTGCACAGCCATGAATAAATAAACAGAATTATAAAAAGGAAAGAAATTTGACTCCTAAAGTTCTATCTTCCTATGTCTTCAAATACTGTTTGATTTCCCTAAATGGGTTAACCCTGATCCTATTAGAATTGCCCTGTTTTTTAAAATAACATCTACATGCTGTTTTTATATAGAATTGCCAGTCATATAAGCCATGAGCTGTTAAATCTATATAATGGTTTCTCACTAGACCTTCTCAGGGGTTTATAGGAGGGAATATGGCAGCAGGGAATATTGCTTGTTGCACCTGAAAAATGTCTAGAGCCAAGTCTTCATGAGAATCCCTTATACTTATTTGTGAGGTGCATTTTTTTTAGTTTTCCCTAAGAATGGAGTGAAAGGGAACCTTCTTAGTCAGAGAAGCCTATGATTTTTCAAAACGAAGATGAAGGTCAAGGACACAGACTGCCTCCAAAGGCTGGTTCTTGTCCGGTCTCTGCTACCCAAGACCCAAACGACCCAACTGCTCTTCCTTTCTAAGCTCAGTTTCCACCTGTGAATAACAGAGATGATGACGGTAACAGTATCCCAGGGTTGATACGAGGTAAATAAGATCATTCATGAAAACACTCGGCACAGTTCCAAACACACAGAGAATGTTCATAAATAACCACATGACTTCTGAAGTCCAACCTTCAGCATTTGGAGATGATTATTTAGCTACAATTTTGTATGCAAAAAAGGAGACTAGAAATAATAAACCAATTGACTAAGAAACAGAAGGTTCTCTTTCCTCCCATTCCCTCTGTGTGTGATCATATGTAAGAGCTGTAATCAGAACCTATAAACCCAGGACAGGGTCACCAATGAGCACTGTGGACTCAAAACTTGACTGTCTCAAGGTACTTCAAGAAATGCTCCATTTCTTATTGACTCTGAAGCTTATTGCAAAGCTGAGTTAACTTTATATTTATGTATTCTGAACTGAAGCTAAATCTTTCAAGCCCCAGGCCTCAGCCTGAAACAACTTCTGTGAAAACAACTTCTTCTAGAAGAGAAGATCTGAGTCAATAGCCGGCCAGTCTCCAATCACTGCCATCTCGGAGAGAACTGCTTCACAAGAAATGTTTTTCTCTGATCAGAGTGATGCTTTGAAGACTTCAAACATCAACAAAGACAGGGGGGAAAACACATCTCTCTGAAATGCCAATTTTTCTGAAGTAACCACCCCTCAGAACCCTTCAGTCACTTCAAATGGTTTCGAGTGCGCACTCTGTTATTGCACACCAAAATGAGACGGAGTGAGAAAGGAGGAGAATAATATTCTGAGATAAAAGTCTTCAACTAAATTCAAATGTCAGGGCCACACAGGGGCCATCATTATCAATCAGTACGTACAAGTTCATCGATTTTTAATGCTCCTCTCCTTAAACATGGTATTTGTTTTCAGCCAATTTAAAAGAGAGAGATGGAGAGGAGAGAGATTTAACCCTTGGGAGACACGTCCTCACCCGTGAAGGTAGAAAGTTGAGCAGCAACTGTTCTCTGAACTGGGTGGCACGACCGTTGGTCTAAGACGTTCATTCCAACCTTCGCTGATGTCTGACCTTGATGATTCACTCAAAGTTCAGCTTTAAAACTGCTTTCTTCATGAGAGTAGTTAATAGGCTAATTTCTAAGGTCTGAAGTTTGGCACACATTACTTTTAGTAGTTCCTGGGGTCCTACGCACATTTTATAATAGACTTGTTTTGATTTACATCTTATGTATCATCATGTTAAAAGAGAAAACTAACACATAAAAGTCTCATCTTATTTTCCTTTATCATCAGGAAATTCATAACAATACATGAATTGCTGTTGTTGTTTACTCGCTAAGTCATGTCCGACTCTTTGCAACCCCAAGGACTATAGCCCACCAGGCTCCTCTGTCCATGGGATTCTTCAGATAAGAATACTGGAGTGGGTTGCCATTTTTCTCCAGAGGATCTTCCCAACCCAGGGATCGAACCCACGTCTCCTGCATTGGCAGGTCAGAGACAATAGTTACAGATTACTTTTTAAAATGTTTTAAATTATACTTATCCAAATCCATTCAATTGTGTGGGTTTCTTCCCATAGCATAGTCTGCTAACCAGAACAACACGAAGTCAACTAACCAATCAGGGGCTCCCAGTCCCAGACACCAGGATTCTAGTGCTCAGGAAGATGTAAATGGTTCACGATGGGCTCAGCTGTCAGTACTACACTATATGCACCGACTCCATCTCCTGGACTAGCAAGCAGAGGGTGGAACCCGCATCTCCTGCATGGGCAGGTAGATTCTTTAAGGCTGAGCCACCAGGGAAGCCCATAACACCCAGCTACTTAGTTACATATGTTACCCCTATAAGAGGACACACTATATCTTCAATACAAAGTTTTGTTTCTCAATATAATCAACTTAGTAGCCATAGCCATCCACCTGTCATTTGCTATTCCTTTTATTTTCTATATCAATCCTCTCTCTCTGCCTCTGTCTCTGTGTTTCTCGGCTCCTCTTCAAGTGCAACAAGGTGAGGCTCCTCAATTCTTGGTTCTGATTCTAGGATCACACCTTTGCCCTTTAGTTCCTCTCATTTTTACTGCCCTCTCTGGACCTTCTCTATTTTGGACTCTGCTTTCTCTGGAACTATATGAGCAGCAACAGTGAAACATTCAAATCAAGGACAGACTGATTCATTTTCTCCTAAGATTACAATTTTTTTTCCCTAAATCACTCTAAATTGCAATTTAATGTCCATGTGAGTGTGTGTGTGTGTCCATTTCCACACTCCTGCTCTCTGAACAGATGTTGCAATGCATCTCTGCACTAACAGGACCTACATCTTCTTTTCTTGAAAAGCTAACTGGAAAGTTATCCATTTACAAGAGCAGTTGAAATTATTCCTTCAAATACACATTCCTTTGGCTCTGACTCCCTTTGAGGAAGACACATTTTATTTCCCAATAATTGAGGAGCACGACCTAGTGAGTTAGGGTTAGACTTTATCACTGGCCTCACTCAGGGGGGTGGTACAAAGCAAGGCTCCCTTTGAAGCCTGCAAGACCAAAAGGCATGAGGAGTTGTCTCTGGGTTGTTGCATAATTTACTGGATGACGTGGAAGTAAATCATCACATTATAGACTATTGGTTAACATCGCCAATTAGCGAGAGAATCCTATGTGGAATTCTAAGTGGAACTGAGAATTTTCTGTGGCTCAGCCAGGTTCATTCAAACTGACTTTCAACAAATAGACATTTATTGTGTGGTTATAGAGGAAAACGTCATTTTTCATTAAAGATTTGACTTATTTTTAGAAAATTGCCCCTAAACTGCTAAACAAATATGACTGCAGACCCTGAGCTGCTTCTGCTTCCTCTGCCAGTCTGACCCCTCCCCTGTGACTAACGCAGTTGGAACTCTTATCCTGGGTCCCTTTCAGCTCAACGCTCTACAGAAGCATCTCACTTCAGTTAATGATTCAGTTAACTGGCAGTGACAGTCCCTGTTCATGAATCTTTTCTTGCATGATGGCAACTCTGAAAAGAGATGATGGCTTTCTCCATGGCAAACTGGCTGGAGGGGCTGGGGTGTGGACCTAGAGCATCCAGAGCAGCATAAAGGAAGGGATGGTGGAGGAAGGATGCTGGAGATCATAAGCCAAAGCTCAGCAACAGAGAAGCGCCAAGATCCACCAGTGAACACACCGGGGCACGAAACAAGAGTCAAGGTTGAAGACTTCCCTGGCTGTGGATGAGAATCTGCCTGCCAATGCAGGGGACACGGGTTTTATCCCTGGTCCGGGAAGATCCCACATGCCGAGAGGCAACTAAGCCCGTGAGCCACAACTATGGTGCCTCAGCTCTAGAGTCCAAGAACCAGAACTACTGGCTTCTTCTCCACATGCGGTAACTACTGAAACCATGCGCCCTATAGCCTGTGTTCTGCAACAAAAGATGCCATTGCAATGAGAAGTCCTTGCATCGCAACTAGAGAAAGCCCATGGATAGCAACAAAGACCCATCACAGACAAAAATAATAAAATATATAAAGGAAATTAACTTTAAAAAAAGAGTGAAGAGTGAGAACCGAGCAGTGGTTCCCCGGGCATGTGTTTATAAAGCGTAGTTACGTAAGCATGTTGGTAAGTCCAGTTTGTTTCTAAGTCCTACAAAGTTAGCCCAGGTACCCAGCTAATACAACTGGCTATATAGTACTGCTCTTTAATAGGTTTATAATACTTTTCACAGAAATCATATATAAACAAACACAAAAAAGAAAAAATTTTTAATTTTACAGTACAGTACCTTGAAAAGTACAGTAGCATAGCACAACTGCTGGCATGCAGGGGCACATTCGCATCTTGAAAGTTCACAACTTAAAGCTTCGTATGTAGGGGACTTACTGTATTTTCTACCTGGATGAGCTGCACGCACCTTATTTAGAGTCTCTGTAGCATTTGTCACTGTTCACTTCCCTTCTCCACAACTTGGAAATCCTCTCTCCTGTGCTGGATCCCAGGACATCATTCCCTCCTGGCTGTCCCCAAGGCCCGTGGGCAAGCCCCTGACTCCCTGTCTCCTCCATCTGCACTGAGGTTTTGCACTCAGCTGGGCTATCCTGTCTCTTAACTTGAGATGAACAGATCATCAAATCCATTTCTGTTTCCTGGACACGAAGCTAGAATTCACTTCTCAGCTTCCCCTACAACCAGGTGTGGCTACGTGCTGAGTTCCTGCCAAGAGAATGGAAGCATGAATGGTGTTCTCCATTTCTCAGTCCAGTCTTTAGAAAGCAGTCTCCCTTCAGGCCCTCCCCACGCTTTCCTTTCCTGCTCACTATATGCCACACCTGAGAGAAGAGAGGTATTAAAGACGGCAGAGTGTCCTGCAACCCCTTTCCCTAAGCAGCTACACAGAGAAAAGCCTTGACTGTGAAGCAAAAATACATCTGTTTGATTTTAGGAGTGTAAAAAATAAATAAATTCTTACTGCGATAAGTCATCAAAAATTTTTTTAAGATTTTTGTGATGTGAACCATTTTCAAAATCTTTATTGAGTCTATTATAATATTGCTTCTGTTTTATGCTTCGGTTTTTTGGGCCCTGAAACATGTGGGGTCTTAGCTCTCCAGCCAGGGAGAGAACCCACACCCCCTGCATTGGAAGGCAAGGTCCTGACCACTGAACCACCAGGGAAGTCCCCAGTCACGGAAGTTTTGGGGTATATCTGTTACAGCAGCTACCATCTTCACTGTTAAATTTCATCTATATCTCATTAGTCCAAACCTCAATTCTTGACATTCAACTCGAATTTCTAATTTGTTCCCTCTCCTTTAATAGACTAACGCCTAATATTTTTCAGGAGTTATTCCCTAGACCTCCCAATCTGAACTGGGTTTTGTTCCTATGTGTTTCCAGAGCTCCTTACTTACAACACAACATAGTCCCCAACTCCACAGTGAACTTTTTAAGAATAAACATTGTGTTTTAATCTCTGAATCCTCTGTGTCTGGTTGGCACTCAGGAATAGTTTCTTATAAGAAAAAAAAATGACTGAATAGATAAAGGAATTGAGATTTGTCATATTAAAAACAGGATGGCCCAAAGGTGGTGTGATCAAAGTTTCTAAAATAATGAAACAATGAAGATGCTGAATGGGTATCTTTTAAAATTAATCCTCAGAAAAAGAGAAATAAGAAGAAACTGTTCAAAGCTGAAAGAGGTGTTTTAAATATTTAAGGACAAACAAAAGAAAGCTTTTCTGAATAGTGAGTAGACTTGAACTTGTTATAAAATATAAGAGGTATAATAAAAGTTTGTAAAGAATTTCTAAAGGAAACTCAGCTTATTATTTGGCCTATTGCCTAAGTCTTTTGAGATTGATCATTAATAATGTTGTCTTCTTAGCGTTAACAAATACTACAGTTAGTATCAAATATTATGATACTAATAAATCAAAATCAATGTTTAAACACATTGTAGTGACCTTGCATCCTGCCCCACCAGTAACATCCCAGTGACAATTCACCTTGGTGCCTCACACAGTGCATTAGCATCTGGAGCACCTATGCTGCACCCAAGGTGGGAGACAGCAGACCAAAAGTGGGCTAGAGAACAATCCAGAACTTCACAGGGCATTCTTCCTAGGTCCCCCACCCTCTCCATACAGAATTTTCCTGTATAAGCCAAGAAAGAGCTGTTACAAACCCCGAGTGTGACTTACAGAAATAACTAGTGTTTCACCTCACCTCCAAGAGCTTTCTATTCTCCAATACCTGAGAAATCCCGCATGAAGCAGTAACTAGACTAATAAACAGTTTGGGTATTTCACTGATTTCTATTTACTCTATAAAAATTGACTTTTAAAGTACAGTTGGTAAATGGGAGCTGGGTTTTGTTCATCCTTGACCTTTCAACTGCTTTCACTGGCTCAGGACATTTAACTTTATCTGAAGAGATGTGACTGATCTAATTGAGCTGAAAGGAGCAAGAACATGTAACAGACATTTCCCTTTTACAGACAGAAAATTTACCCTTTAATGCAAAACTTCGTCCTGGAAGGTTAAAGCCCTCCTCTCACCTGTAGCTGGGATATCGTCAGAGGGTATCGGAATAATATCCAGGTCACACCTTCGCTGCAGGGCGGGATGGTGAGAGAGCCTTCGTAGACCCAGTAATCACGCAGCAAGGGGTCTGTGCCACCGCAAGGACCAGTCACGGAAAGGCGAGTTAATGAAAAATAATTTGAAAGAGTCCAATAATCATTTTCAAAATTATAAACGGTCCAGATAACATGTCTCAGATGGACATCATTTTTAAACTGGAGCCGCACATATATATTTTTTAACTAGTCATATGAAGAAAACAATCAATAGAGAACATGATGTGTCCTCTATTATTTATAGTGATTTTGTATCGATGAATTCCTACACATATTTAAATACGGTTATATAAACTAGATATATAAATACTTGATATACTATACCAGGTCAGTGTGTGTGTGTGTGTGTGTGTGTGTGTGCGCACGCTCAATTATGTCCAACTATTTGTGACCTCATGGACTATAGCCCACCAGGCTCCCCTGTACATGGGATTCTCCAGGCAAGAATCCTGGAGTGGGTTGCCATTGCCTTCTCCGGTAGAGAACATGATGTATCCTCTCTTATTTATAGTGATTCTGCATCAATGAATTCCTACACATATTTAAATATGGTTATATAAACTAGATATATAAACACTTGATATACTATACCAGATGTGTGTGTGTGTATGTGTGTGCTAAACTGTGTCCAACTCTTTGTGACCCCTGGACTGTAGCCCACCAGGCTCCTCTGTCCATGGGATTCTCCAGGCAAGAATCCTGGAGAGGGTTGCCATGCCCTCCTCCAGGGGATCTTCCCACTCAAGGATCAAACCCTCACCCCCTGCACTGCAGATGGATGCTTTACTATCTGAGCCACCAGGGAAGCTCAGTGGTAAAATGTTTATTATCCCAAAAAGTTTACTCCCAAGTTTAAAACAATATGAAACTGGTAACAACTACAAAGAATATTAATTATAAAGAAAGCTCATTAACTCATAAGATACAGTTGTGTTTATTCTGAGAAGAACAATGCAGTAACAGCCACAGTTAAAATTCACCCTATGCAACCCAATAAATGCTTACCTGGTAATAAAGTGTTGGGATTAAAGCAGGGTATTGTTTTGGACTTCCCCTGAAAAAAAGAAAACAATGTACCCCACGTTAACACAAAATCTTAGAATAAGAACATTTATAAGCACTAAAAATCGAGGTTGAAGTTTTTTCTTATTGGCCACACCGCACATGTGGGATCTTACTTCCCTGACCAGGGATCAAACCCATGCCCCTTGCAGTGGAAGCATGGATCCTGAAATCACTGAACCCACCAGGGAAAGCCCTGAAGTCTTTTCTGAATGCCAGACCCCAGAGGTTTGTAGGTGTGCCAATCTGTCTTCTCACTGGAGTGACAGGGCTTGGTTCCAACAAGACGTTCCTGCTCTGAGTCTGTAGCTATTTTCACTATGGCCACAGCTCAGGAATTTCCCCATGATCCCTGGTGTGGAACTTAAAATTGTCCAGTGTCTGTCTTCCCCACGTCACTGCCCTTCCTGCTCCTGGCATAGAGCTGTGGGCCTTGACCCAGGGATTCTTTAGAAGTGACTTTCCTGCTGAAACTCGGCTCTCAGAGTCTAACCTTCTTGGCAGCGCAGGATGTACGAGCTCAGTTGCCTAGTCGTGTCAGCTCTTTGAGACCCCATGGACTCCAGAATACTGGAGTGGGTCACCATTCCCTTCAGATTTTCCTGACCCAGGATCGAACCTGGGTCTCCCCTGTCTCCTGTGCTGCAGGTGGACTCTTTACCTGCTGAGCCACTGGGGCAAATCAACCTAAGCCACCTTCTCTGGGAGGTATCATCTTAACAACTTATGTGAGCTGCTGTTGCTTTTCTTTTCACATAAATACTCTGAAGTGTGGTTGCCACAATTTTTATTTCCTTCATTTATACCACCTTCCTATATCCAGAGGGCAGAACGAGGTACTCAGGAAGCCTGGGTTGCTCCAATCCTACACAATCCCCCCCAAAAAGTCCTGCCTTCAAGCCTGGCCCTTGGCTGCCTCCTGGGAGATCATCTCTGAGTCCTTGGAATAAGCCGCCTGATAAGAGTGGCTCTGTGAGCCTGAGGCCTTGGGCAGGCTGTACCAGCTGGACCTGATAAGTTTATCCCAACAAAGTAATTTATGGTGGAAGCCTGGTTTTGCTCAGGGTGGGGGTGGGAGGGCTGGAGTCAGCATAACTGAGGTCAGTCCCTGAGGCACTGCCCAGGTATAATTGACCCCCAATAAAATCCCTGGACACCAAGGCTCGGGTAAACTTTCCAGGCTGGCAGCGCTTCACAAGTGCTGTGACATCACTGCTGGGAGAATCGGGTGTGCCCGCAGGCAGCTCCACTGGGAGGGGACATCTGAGAGCTTGTGCCTGGTTTCTCCAGGACTGCGACCCATCCACCTTTTCACTGTGCTGACTTTTGACCTGTATCCTTCCAGGGGAATAAACCACAACTAGGAGACTAACAGCTTGTCTGAGTCCTTTTAGGGAATCCCCAAGCCTGAGAATAGACATGAAAGGCTCTTACATAACCAGTATTTTTATTTTCTTTTAGAGAATGACTTACCTTGTACTGAATATCCTGGAGGATTTCAGTCACAGCCTTCAGGCCCACGTGCTCTTTTCCGATCTGCAATGTATAAAGTATAAACCATAGCTACTAAGCATTTAAAAACCTAAGTAAAATAACCAACTGAAGTGAAGTTCAAGTTCACCTGAAAGTCCTTCTTGGGACTATAAGACTTACTTCTTAATAAATAAGTCAACTAAAGGCAATTAAAGTACAAGAAAGTATTAGATATGTTCCTGGGCATTTCCAAGAATCTATTTTAAATTTACCTTGCTAGGTATAGATTTTACCCACTGTGCTACATATTTATATTTATATATAAACATAAATATATTTATGTTTATATATATATATAATCACAAATATATTTATGATTATATATATATAATCACATGACACTGTTATATAAAAGTTTTGAGGATATTTCTGAATTAGAATTTTTCACACATGCCCAAAGCCTTCTATTTTTACTTTTAGCATTTCTAGATCATTACTATAAACACTGTATTCATGTTGAAAAACTTTTACTAACTTCAAAAAATAAGTATGTGATTTCATATGTTAAAGTCACTGAAATCAAGACACTTATTGATTATCATTGGACATAACTCTATAATCACCTATTTATTCTTAAATAAATAAGAATATGCTGTTTGTAGCTTTCTATTTTAAAGCATTATATATCATTACATATTTTCAGTGCCTAAAATGTCCCAAGGAATTTGAGACTTTAAAAAGAATATGATGTGAAGTATTCTTGATTCTAACTTTAAAAATTATAAGCATAATCTCATTTCTACTTTTCAGTCAAGTTTCAACAGTTTCTGTCCATGCTAATGGAAGGCAGTCACAACAGAGACCCTTTATAACCTCAGATAAACAATCCTTGTTATGGTTTGCTTTTTCTCTTGCACATAAATTTTTGGAGAATGATCCACAAGGACCTACAATAGCTGTCAGCATGCTCACATGCCCTGCTTCTCTCCATTGTGAACCAACTTGGAAAAACACTAGGTCAAAGGGGATCAAAGGAAAGAGGTGTGACAGGAAACTTATACAACCCAAGACAGGCCAATCAGTTCCAAATAATCAAGATTATATTTTCCAAGTGTTTGCAATTCCTGAGATAGGCTCTAGAAATAGAAAATGGATTCTCTTAAGTTAGTGTGTGTGTGTGTGTGTGTGTGTGTGTGTGTGTGTATCTTAGGCAAAATGTACTCCTTGGTGTCAAAGCGTGGACCTGTAGGCAGACACCTGCACCCCACCTTCAGGGAAAAACAGACCCCTTTGTCGTATTGGTGGCTCAGACAGTAAAGAATCTGCCTGCGCTGTGGGAGACCCGGGTTCAATCCCAGATCAGGAAGATCACCCAGAGAAGGAAATGCCTACCCACTCCAGTATTCTTGCCTGGAAAATTCCATGGACAGAGGAGCCTGGCAGGCTACAGTCCATGGGGTCGCACGGAGTCAGACATGACTGAGCAACTAACACTTCCACTTTCTGTTGTACTGGCTTAAGCAGAATATAGTATTTGGATGCTTACACCCACAGGTGGGCTCTGTCGTCACTTCATGCATCTCTAATCAGAGCATAATTCTTTGAACAGCCCACATCTGAACACTGTGAGGCCACACAGTTTAGTGGCCCAGGAACAAGGTCACTTGCGTTGGATGCTGGGTTCTGACCTTGACTCACTGTTCAGTCTTGAGCAAGTTTACCTAACCTCTCTGTCCTTCAGCTTTCTCCTCTATACAGCAGGGAGGATTAAAAGTGATGGAGTTGAAAACAAGACTCAGTCAAACAAAAACCTTAGAACAGGGCATGGTGCATCGAAACTCAGTGATTATCACCCAGATCACTCTTACTCAGAATGCTACACAGCATCAAATACAGCACTTAGTAACTATTACTGCCTCTTTCTATCTACAAAGGTTCTATACTTCGTGGACATAACTATATTTTGCAACCAACTCCAGCTGTCGCTCCATCTCGTTTCTTCCTTTCTTTGTCAAAGTCCTGTCTGAAGACGTCACAGCCACCAAAAAGAAAACATGGATGATGCTCTGCACAGCCCAGTCCCTAAAATCCTACAACAGTGTGCGTGACAACACAACCTGGGGCCAAGAGTCCACCCGCCACCAGGTAACTTCTGACCTCTGCCCTTCACCGTCTTCCACCACTGTCCAGAATGCCAGCCCTCTGGTCAGTTTCCTCTCCGAGAACCTCAGCCCTGCAAAGCCCTGAATTTTTCAACTTGTACAGCTAATCCCCTCACTTCCCACCATACCCTCTGGAATGGGACAATGCCACATCCTTGACAAGCTCCCTGCCACCTCCTGGATCTGCTCAAGGTCTTTTTTCCAAGTCTTTTGAGTGGACACTGTGCAGCCTCCCTCAAAGATGAGATTAAGAGCTCTGGCCAGTGCCTGGCTGTTACCTTCTGATGGGTCTTCTGTTCCACAAGCCCAAGGCCAGCCCCCTCTGAGTGGACCGCCCTCCTCCCATGCTATTCTGCTCAACTATCCATTGGTTACAACCAATGGTTGTTCCCTCCTGTGGTCCCCCCAGAGGCCTTCAGCATCCCTGGGTGTGACCTATGCCCTCCCTGGCCTCTCTCTTGACCCCTCAGTCCATGTCCCTCAGCTCCATCCCACCTCTGTCAACCAATCCTAAGAATGTACTTTGGACTTGTTTTCACTCTGACACCCACAACTCCACAGACCACCCCCTCTGACCGTAACTGCCCACCCATCCATCCTCTCCTCTCTTCTCTCTCTTCCTATTCACTGATCACAAGGAGTCAAGCCCTGGGGTCCCTCTTGGCTCCGTCTCTTTCCTTTCCTGCCTACCCTGAAAGATATTTCTCCATCTTCTAGTCCCTCTGCCCTCCTAAATCATTTGCTCTGCAACCCATCAATGCAACAATTAATTTGCTAGAATTCTCTGCTCTTCGTGGTGGATGGCGAGACTAGCCCAATGTCCGCTGTCCTAGACTGTCTGTGATGTCCAATCTCAAGAGGGTCTCCCACCCTGAAGGTCAAGTCTGTTGTCATTCACCTCCTGAGCTATTTCAAAACTCAATCCCACACCCACATTTCCTCTGCTCTATAAATAATTTTGCTGCGCATGTCTGGGAGATAATACAGGTCATCAGGCATGAACTCCCCTAATTTCCTGTCTTTCTTCACCTAAAAGTGCTTGCTATTGGTGCCCACCCTTTCCTGCTAGCCCTCTGTTTTGGAGAAAGGGTGGGGCCCCTCCTGTCTGGGGTCAGTGCATCCACATAAACTCTCATCCGACACCCCCCAATTCCTCTGGGGCTCCTTTCCTGCAGTATTTTCAAACTATATCTGCACTAGCTTTTAATATATATATATAATTATTTATTTGGCTACACTGGGTCTTAGTTGGGATAGGAAAGATCTTCGATCTTCGCTGTGACATGAGGGACCTTTTTTTTTTTTTTTCGGGAAGCAAACTCTCAATTGCAGCCTGCGGTATCTAGTTGCCCAACCTGGGATCAAACTCGGGCCCCCTGCACTGGGAGGGCAGAGTCTTAGTCACTCGAGCACCAGGGAAGTCCTGCACTCACTCTTTTTGCTCAGAATAAAACCACAGGCCCATCTCGGATCTCGTAATGAAACAAACTGAATCTCGCTGTGCACATCACCGCTAGTTATCACCCCTTCTGTCTTTGAGTCAAGTTTCCATCCTCACTGCCGGGACACACTCCTCTCTGCTTTCTCAGCCTCTGGTGCTAAGTGCAAGGCCCTGGATGTGGTCCTTTCCTCTCTGCCTCGGCTGACACTCAGGATCAGCCCTTCTTTCCTCCATGAACATCTGTGCTCAGTTTCTGTGATATTGCTCTTTCCTGAGAAAGGCATCGTCACATAGATAATCTGCATCTTCCTTCATGCCCTGCATTGGCAGGAGGATTCTTTACCCCTAAACCACCATTTTCTACCAGTGAATATGGCTGAACTTGATCCACAGAGACCACATTTTTTTTTTAACTTCATTTCTTTATTTTTGGCTGTGCTGGGTCTCTGTTGCTACACACAAGCTTTCTCTAGTTGCTCTGAGTAGGGGCTACCCTCAAGTTGTAGTCCCCAGGCCTCTCATTGTCGTGGCTTCTCTTATAGAGCACAGGCTATAAGGCCCTCGGGCTTCAGCAGCTGCAGCGCACAGGCTCAAGAGTTGCTGTTCCCAGGCCCTAGAGCACATGCTCAATAGTTGCGGCACATGGGCTTAGCTGGACCAAGGCATATGTGATCTTCCAGGACCAGGGATTGACCTGTGTCTCCTGCATTGGGAAGCAGATGCTTTACCACTGAGCTACCAGGAAAGCCCCAAGTTTTCTATTTTTAAACTATCAATGTTCTTTGTATAAGCACTTCATGTCCCTTCTAAGTAGTAAAACTGAGAGGGAACAAAAAACCTTCTGCAAAATGAATTGGAAAGAAGCATCTCTGAACCATGTAATAATCTTAGCAGGAGACCGTTTACCTGAACAAACAAAGCGATGATAGCGATCCCATGGGGCTTCCCCACAGCCTCATCAATGCTGCCAAACAAGGTGGAGTTCCAGTGGATCAGGTGGAGCTGGACAAGCAACGACAGACAGGCAACCTCGTTACTAAAGGTACTTCTGTTCAGGAGAACAAAGATACATCAACTTCGCCTTGACCCTATCCATTTGGTATGGTATGCAACAAGAGTATCACAGATAGGCACAAAGAGATGACTGGTAAATCTAGGTTCTCTGTGTGAATTCCTTCCTTCTTATTTCTCAACAGAAGCAGGGCTCAGTGCCTCTCAAGTTCTGCTTCTGTCCTGATCAGGAGCACATCTGAGGGGTCTTGCAGATTTCAAATTGATTTCATTGCCTCCCTTAGAGGACATCCCCTCTGGCTCTCACTGAAATGAAACTCCAGGTCTGGTCACAAACATGAGAACTCATTGAAAGGATGAGTACCTATATACTCCAGTACTGTGCCACCCACCATCTCCATCAAGAATGACACAAATTCTCAAATTCTGTAAATTAGTTCAACTTTCTAAGTATATGTAGAGATAGCATCCTATGAAAAGCACTGCATCTTTTTTAAAGCATGGTAAAGTAATGAATGCCAATGTGGAGCTCTTTTTTAAAAAGGCCATTTCCTGCACTGCAGATAAAATTTTATCTGTGAAGGAATTACAAATAGTACTCTAGAGGACTCTCTCACTCTTAGCCCTAGAGAGCTCGGTGGTTTTCAAGTTTATCTAGAATACACACTTGCTTCTACCGAGTTGATAAAACACTCGCAAGAAGCCAAATTCAATTCCCTGCTTAAAATCAAATGGCCGCTGAGGTTCTCAGTATAACAGTAGTTAGGTAAACCTTCTGCCGAGAATACTAATCATCACTTTACATTTTAATCAAGTTATAATTACTTACCTCCTGAAAACACTGCTTCATTTAAGAATTAATCCAAAAATACACACTAAAATTCAAACACCTTGTCCTTTTAGCATCCATATTAAAATATGAAGGAAAATTATCAAGGAAGATCGCTGTAAGTTTGAAGCTTCTCTTGCTGAGTTTTCCCAACTAGAATTCAAAATTATAAAGCTGACCACTAGAGGGAAGTAATGAGGCTCTCTGTCTATAATATTATAGAAATGGTAACAGAACAAGGCTCTTGGGAGTTTCTTGGACTGCAAGATCAAACCAGTCAATCTTTTTTTTTTTTTCATTTATTTTTATTAGTTGGAGGCTAATTACTTTACAATATTGTAGTGGTTTTTGCCACACATTGACATGAATCAGCCATGGATTTACATGTGTTCCCCATCCCGATCCCCCCTCCC